GGGTATGAGACTCCAGTACAGAACAAAATGAGCGGATCTGGTCCAAAATGGCTGGTTCTGGAGCTGATCTGCGGTGTGATGCTGATGTGGTCCGGATGGATCCGTTATCTGTTACGTAACAGCCTCCCCGCCTGGAACACATCAACCCGGGGCGGGCTGACAGGCAGCAGAACCACGGATCCACAGAACCATCTTCCGGGCCCTGATGGAGAACAGATCAAACATTTAAATAAAAAAAAAAAGTAATCTTCAGGCCCTCGGGGGTCCACAGCGTTAAAACCAGGTCCGGTTCTGTTCTGGACGCGGCTGCCTGGAGTCACAGTTCACTGCTTCAATACCTGTTAAAGCTCTATCAGGCAAAGACAAAGTCATGTGATCACCAGCCAAAGTGGACAGATCCAAATCTGGAATTCTTTCAGAACCACAGACGTCATAATAATAAACATGCCTCTCTGATGGTATAGGGGTACATGAGTGCTTCTGACATACAGGAGGCGACAGGTCCAGTGTGTTGTTTACACAAACAAACAGGAAGTTGTTGTGTTGTTGTGTCTCCAGCCTCAGCAGGGCATCGGCAGGCCCAGCGTGTACCACGCCGTGGTGGTCATCTTCCTGGAGTTCTTCGCCTGGGGCCTCCTCACCACGCCCATGCTCACCGTGAGTCCAGGCTTCGGCTGACAGGACGGCAGCGTCCTTCGGCTGATTCACAGAAACACCTTCTCGTAAAGGAGAGTTTGTTGACGTTGATGTTTTCTGCTCGTAGGTTTTACACGAAACGTTTCCTCAGCACACGTTCCTGATGAACGGACTCATCCAGGGTGTGAAGGTAAGACGTTCAGAAGAGTTTTAGCTTCACACAGCCGAAGAACTCAAAACTGACTTTCAGCTTTAAAGATTCACAACTGAGTTGTTACAGCTCAAACTACCAGAACACATGCTAAAAGCTAAAACTACCAGAAGACATGCTAAACGCTAAAACTATTAGAACACATGCTGATAGCTAAAAATACCAGAACACAAGCTAAAAGCTAAAACTACCAGAACACACGCTAAAAGCTAAAACTACCAGAACACAAGCTAAAAGCTAAAACTACCAGAACACACGCTAAAAGCTAAAACTACCAGAACACAAGCTAAAAGCTAAAACTACCAGAACGCATGCTAAAAGCTAAAACTATTAGAACACATAAAAAACGCTAAAACTGTTAGAACACATGCTAAA